AGCTGTGCCTGGCTAACAATACAGAAGTTACAATGACGTGGCACACATACTCTCATGTTACCGTATCTAATAACATAATACTGACCTTGAGTCTATACAAAGTGACCTGTCTTGGCTTTGTTTTAGTAGACTAGTATTTTGTAAAATACAATCACATTTCCATTATTATACATTTATATATGTATAGAGATTATTGTTATATAGAAATAAGTTCTTAAACATATTTTTCTTAAAACATAGAACAGTAAGTAAAGAAATAAAGGAAACAATTATATCCTCTAGTTATGACCTTTGTTCTCGGTTGCTGCTTGAGGTAGGTTGCTAAGCCATTTAAAATTTCACACATGGAGGATATGAAATGAAATAATGTTTTTTAGGTTTATACATACAGTTGAATAACCCAAAAATCATCAATTACTATATTGATACCACAGAATTCCACTATATTTTATCAAGCTTAGGAACTAAGGTATATTTGGGTCTAAAAAAAATGAAATTATGAGCGAACTAAAGACACAACCTACCTCCTTGAAATCTGGATTCGAAAGAACGAGATGGTGTTCTAACACAAGAATAATGGCTGAGAAAGCCACTAGGGGGACATTCTGAGCTTTTGATTGGACATTCACAAGTCATATATTGAAGTAAGTGTATATAAGGAACCGTTTCCAAAAATGGAAAGAGGTGGCTGGGGCCACTGTGTTTGATTCAGTACATGAGCAATATCTCAGCAAATAGAAAAGATGCGAGGTTTTTATGTTATATTCTAGCTTGTAATTTTAGTCAGTAATTTTAGTTTATAATTCGTACAAAACTATAGACTTAGTATTTTGACATCACAAACATCTAATTTGAACCAGTGCTGCATTCAACATACAACGTGAAACACAAAAATCGATATTTAACTGTTTTTAATATTTACTTTTATATTAAGAAATCAAATTATGTATAATACGAAAATTTGAATTATAATCTACAGTTTGATACCAAACTTATTGACATATTTTCATGAAATAGTAGTTCAATAAAATTTTGAATACGAGTCAACAAACGCGATGACATGGCCTTTGACATGTGACCCGTCTGGAGAGGGGTAATGTGGTACAAAATTACTATTGTAACTGAATAGGCAGCATACTTTTCAGGTTAACATTAGTGGTAACATGCTTGTATTGTTTAAAAACTACAAAATGTTAGACTTGGTTGTGTTGAATAATATGCTATTTTTTTATGCTTTTTTATTAAAACCTAATACGTTATGTTATGCTTAATTGTATGTGTGTTTAGGTTGAAAGTATTTACGTGTAAGGGATTTAGTTGAGGCAGAATGAGGTGGAACAGCTCTCAAGCACTTGTTTCAGTACAATGGTGCTTATCTGATAATAATTAAAATTATTATTATTATATGTATTTGAAATATTTACTCATTAGAATTTCCATTAAATCTATATAGTAATAATGGTAATTAATACTGGACACATTAATGCTGAGTAATAAACAGTTTAAATACAAGTATCTAAAAATACTTCTGTCAAACTAAGTATAACCTTGTTTTGGTAGAAATGCTTTTCTGGGTTCATATACAAGGTGTTTCATTTCATGGAGAATGCCCACTTTTATTCCATTTCAACTATATAGTAATAATGGTAATTAATACTGGACACATTAATGCTGAATTATAAACAGTTTAAATACAAGTATTTAAAAATACTTCTGTCAAACAAAGTATAGCCTTGTTTTGGTAGAAATGCTTTTCTGGGTTCATATACAAGGTGTTTCATTTCATGGAGAATGCCCACTTTTATTCCATTTCAAGTATTAAATGAATGTCAGAATTAGAAAATGTATCAGAATTGAACAGAGATTTTGTGACTGTTTTATCTGTCAAGTGGCAGGGCTTAGCTATATATATATTCCTTGAGAATCAGGATATGTAGGTATTAAGTCACGTTAGAGCTTTAATATATACATAGCTATAGAAAGTGAACATAAACATATTGCATCAACTCATGACCTGTTAAAATTGTTCCCAATTTTTCCAAGCAGTTTTGCTAAATTTGTGCCTAACAAAAAGTTTCATTTACTGAATTCATTTTGTTATAGTGAAGGTCTTATGTTTTACATTAATAATTGTAAAATAACTGATTTAAATATTGTACTCCAGTTAAAAGATAATAGATTGTAACTATAATTACAAAAGTAAAATTGAGTTATGAAAAATGGTATTGATCACTGGAACAGCTATAGTACTGCATTTAACATTGTACCATAAGAACTCTTATTGGTCATTAAGGTTTGTAATTTAAGATTGAATTTAAAGAAAGGACTATTAAGGCTTAAAGATTTAAACTATGAAATTTTATGCATAAACTTGCTTGTTTCTAAAAAAATGTTTGGTTAGTTTTAAGCTTTTGGAATAGGCTACCTTATGTTGTGGTTTTTGCTGTTAGTTTTTAAACTTTTCTTAGATAGGTATATGGAAGTGAAGGGCAACATTTAATTTGGGTTTGACATTTTTACTCCTTGTATTTCTGAGTGAGGGAGTAACCTTGATGGATCATGTATCTTTTCATCATCTTGCTCATTCTTGTATTGTAAAGGTTACAGCTTAAAAACTCGGTACTTTAGTGTGTAAAAACTACAAATGTTACTTTTCCTGTTATCATTTGTATTGAATATATTTTAGGTTTTAAAGCATGGGATAACATATGTTCAGTGAGACTGAAACCGGTGAAAAGGATGCAGGTGAGACACTTGTTATTTTAGGCATATTGATGTATATTGTAATGAAAAAGAAAGAAGATTAATCTTTGAAAAATACTTTATTGGTTGTTTTAATGCTTCTTTAAATTTAAATTGGATGTATCTTAAGTTTACTGTGGATAACTCCAAAGAACAAAGGTTATTTAGGACAAAGTAAGTAAAGCATTTTTCAAAATACATGTAGTCTGTGGAACTTGGTAATGTATTGTAGTAAACTCATTGTTAACATTAAAAATATTTAAATGTTGATGTTAAGTTAGACATTTTTAATTAGGTTTTGATTTGAATTGTTAGTAATAAGATTATTAATTTGTTACATGGGTTTTTTGAGCTTAGAAATGTTTAAAATATATAGTTTAAAAAATTTAAATTTAAAAACAAAATTTGTATATTTTATGTATATTTTAAATTTATTACTTTTTAAGCAAAAGTGTTCAGTTGTATGTAGATATATACACAAATCTGAACCTGAAACTATTTTGCTCATGCACATATCAATTACATCATTGAGAGCATTATGCACATACAGTTGCATTGAAATGGAGACTAGGGTGCCTGGGAACAAGAGTAAAGCATTAAAGAGAGTTCTCAGTGCCTTACCATCAACCAGTGAGTGGAAATTCTGGTCCAGATTATAAAGAAAAGTTACAAAAATGGGTTTGAATAGTATGGAGTTGGCATCTCGATGATTTTGGATATCAAGAAGAGTAACAGTGAGCTGAGAAGTTATAAACAGAATGTGTTTGAAATGGGATGCAAGCGTTTTGCTAAAACAAATGAAAATAGGAAGAAACTGAGAGATAGAAGAAGCAATTTTTTTTGTGGTTTAAGCAGGAGCTCAATTTGCCAAAAACCTGCAAATTTACCAATACACTGTATTCATATTACTATAATGATATTCATACACTTCACTAATTCAAAAATTTCCCTAATCCAAAGTGGCTTACATTCCAGGCTATTTGGATTAATGAGGGTCCACTGTATATATATATATTTTATGTAAAAATATACAACATTTTCGTTATGGACTTATGTGCCAACAAATACATAACCATGCCAGTAAAACTGTAACAAAACAATGTAAAATTAGACCATTTACACAAAAGTATAAATGGTATCATTTTAAAGTGATAATGTCTGTGGACATAGTACCCATAAGCACTGGAGATATTCCATCTATCAGACAAAACAACAGATGTAAAATTAGAAAGCAAGCTACAGTTTCAATAAGCAGTGCTCCAGATAAGATGTTTACTGATGTAGTTACCAACCAAAAATCAGCCATTTACACCATTAAAAAAAATATTGAGAAGCTGTTTTACTTCTGTGAAAAAATGAATACAATTCCTTCTGTTTTAACGATAATAATGGGCACATTCTCGTAGTTTTCTGCAGTTCTGCACAAGATCTGCACAGTTCACACAATAGAGCTGTAAAAATATGCAGTCTCTAAATGCCAGAAATTTCTATTGGTGCACTCATGAATGATCCAATTTTGTGTAAAAAAATAAAATAATAAGTTTTAATGTTGTTATTTGTTTATTATGACTATATCTGGTGATTTAATTTGCTAATTAATCCTGTGCCACATTTTATCTTTAGAAATAATAAATTAATTCAGAATTAGATAAATTACTTTTATCACAAAATGCTATTGCTGCACTTTATTAAAAAAAAAATATTACTCCTGCTGATAGAACTCTGGGAATGATTACTTCTAACAGAAAAAATTATCTGGAGTACTGAATAGGGAATTAGGATCTGGGTGCTAGAACCGAAAATGTCGTAGATGCCACTACCACTGATCATATACGGCTGGTTGTATGCATGATAATTGCCCCTAAATACATAAATGTAGAAATATAATATCATCAACCACCCTCAATTTCTATCAAAACTTTATTACCCAACCTCCACCCATTTTTAATAGTTTGAATAATAACATGATGTTGTAATTTTAATGTTGTAATAACACTGGGCAGCAAAAAACAAGTTTCTCTGTTACTCGAAAAAATGCAACTTTTTCTGAGTAATTTGACAATGCTGATTCTAAAAATCATGTTGAAAATTACTCATCACCTCTAGTCTTTGAGTTATGGTAGATTTGTTCAAAATGTTCTTATATGTCATGAAAATAACTTTTTCTTTAATAACTTTATTTATTAATTGAAAATTGCATTTAAGAATGTTCAAAAACAATACGTAATACCAATACCAGTTTAAAAAAGCAATGAGTACATAAAGATTTTATACTAAAAATACATTCAGGCTATATTCAAAACTTTCATCATGTTGTTATTTTTTGTTGCAGAATATCTGCTTGACTTGTTGCACCTTTTGTGTATGTTCTCATTTCCATGCTGTAAGAACCAACAGTAATTTCCCATCATCACAGGATTCCATCATCCTTGATATTGTTGTTTAATTGTAGAAATATCTTGGTGGAAATACTCACCATGCTCACTGCACCTAGATCATTTGAAATAAAAGTCTAAATGGGAATGTAATAAGTGCATCTTTAGTGACATCCTAGACCCCATTTTCCTGTAGTTCTTGAGCATATCATCAATCATCACAGCATAATTTTCATCTCTATGATTTCATAAGAAATTTCTGACAACCAATTTGAAGGATTTCTAGGCAGAAAGTTCTTTTTGAGTACTGTTTCAAAATCATCATCCATCACCACTTCTCAAATCTGTGGCTCAACAAAGTTACCTCTGTTCATTTTTCCTTCAGTGATTTCTGGAAAACTTGTCAAACAGATATATGAAACAATTACCATCTTTACTCATTCTTTTTACAAAATTCTTCATGAGCCCCAGTTTAATATGAAGTGGGGGCAGAAACACATTTTGAGGATTCACTAAAGGATTTGGTTTTCCTGGTATGTAATTATCTCTCACTGGCCATTTCTTCTTTTTGAAATAATTTTTATCATCTCGGCTGTCCCAAAGATACAAAAAAGAATTTGGTATACCCACTTTGCAGGCCTAGCTGTAGTGCAATAACTTTTACATCACCACATATGTTCTGCCTGTGGTGATTGTATTTGATGGCCTCAAGTATAATCTGCATGCTTTGAAAAGTATATTTCATGTTCACAGCATGAGCAACAGGAATTGATGGTTTAGTGTTCCATTGTGCAAAAGTACAGCTTTCAGACTAACCTTAGATGAGTCAATAAAAAGTCTCCATTGTTCAGGATGATGTTCAGTACCTAATATCCAGAAATATTAGTCATGCAAAATTAACAGTCAGTTAGATGATCTTTGGGCTCATGCCATATCATTGGAATGACAAATGGCATACTTACTCTTTTCTTATTCAACCACTGTATCAAGCCAGATGTGCAAACTGTACAACACACATGTGGAACCCAGTGTTTTACTTTGTCACACATTTTATACCCAAAATAGTGGTAGTAAGCTACCTTTACCTCGTGTGTGATGTTTTTCCTACATGAAACTGTAATATATTTTCTGCAAATGAAGCAGAAACTGTTTGAGTGATTTTTGGACTTTCAGCCTTTACCTGAACTGGAGACAGCTACCATTTCAAATGGCTTTCTAAAAAATACAAAATGATTTATGTTTACAGAACTAGAGTTTAAAATATTTTAAAAACGTTTAGCAGAATTTGATTATATCATGGGTATGATGTGAGGAAGAAAATTGGACTCTGTTTTGTTTGTGTGTGGAGCAAGGTGAAGTGACCAACTAAGTGAGTGAGAGGAAACTGAGAGAATTGTCTGATTGTGCTCCTTTTATGCTCAGTTGAAGGAGTTCTTGAATGTTCTAGCAAACTGAGCACGTGAGGGTTTCGTAATTCCCAGATGGAGTAGGTGAGCATGGGAATGAAGCAAAAGTGGTGCAATTCACTACAAATATCATATATAAACAATTTATTTGGAATTTTACACCAATACAATACAGTCAATGTTTAAGAAAAGAGTAAGTATGCCATTTGTCATTCCAATGTTTAAATAACTTAAAATCTAGAGGTAATTACAAATTCTGACTACATTTTGTAAATCAGCACCATCAGATTATTCTGAATCACTTGAGCTTTCTCCAGTAGCAAATTTATTATTCCCCAGTGTAATATATATATGATGTTATAAACTTTAAATCCACCTCTATAATTCTGGTACTCCTGTCTTTGCCATTACAAAGCAAAATATGTGTATAGGTGTGTAAGCATATAATTCTAAGAACTTAAGAGTTATAGTAAAGAAGAATGTATAATAATATGTCAACCAGACTATATCTATCACATGCAGTGTTGATGAGACATTTTGTCCAATTCCAG